TCTCTAGATCGAAAACCAGCACGGGACACCAATACTGCCAACTCCAGCAGCGTCTGAGCAAACATCTGGGTCTCTAAATCTTTGGGTAAGTCTCCATGTGCAGGATCAGGATCACAATTTAGCCATGTGCTTCAAAGTTCAGTCTTCGGAGTAAGAGAGACATACATTTGTGTCCTGGTTCTGTCACTGTCTTGTAAATCACTTAACTTCTCTAATCCTGAATATTCTCATCAGCAGAATTATCACCAATAACAAGACAAAGCAACATCGTGTACCTCTTTATATGATGAACCAAGAAGGACACAACATCATCTCTCAGGCATCTCTGCCCAAACTGCAAAGGCTGAATCCCATCACAAGAACACATCAGACAAACCCAAATGGGACATCATTCCACAAAAGACCTGCTCTGCATTCCTCAAAAATATCAAGGTTATGAAAGACTGAAAGTGTTACAGATTAAAGGAGACTAGAGAGTCCAGAGGAGTCTGTCAGGGTGGTCCTGTGGTGATGTGTGTGTTGTTGTTGTGATGACAGTAGGGTCATCCATGACAGTGGACAGGTTTCAGCGGAGCTTCCAGATTAAGATAGACTAGGAAGAAGGAGATGCAGACCATTTCTGACTGGTTAACCACTGAAAACCTCATTCACCACAGCGGAACACTGTCGGATGTAGTGCCAGAAGATGAGCCCCAAAGGTTGGAAGGCACTCAAAATATGACTAGAGAAGAGCTGCCTCCTCAAAGTGAAGTTGGCCTTAATGATGGTCAGTAAAAAGAGAAAGACCCCAAAGGAGATGGACTGACACAGTGACAGTAACAATAGATTCAAAACTAACAACTGTGAGGATGAGGAAGGACTAGGCAGTGTTTGGTTCTGTTGTGTGTAGGGTGGCTATGAGTCAGAACCAACACGACCTAACAACAACAGCAACAACAAAGACACATTACAATAAATGTACTGCATAATCCTACATGGGACTGTGGGAGACATAGTTATAAGAAATCTTATTGTGAATTCTGATGAAATTTGAAGACGGACTTCATATTTTGAATTAGACAACAGTGTTGAGTCAATGTTAAATTTCCCGATATTTGTCATTTTATTGTTGTTATAATATGAGATTGATTTTTTTCTTAGAAAACAAAATACTGAGTATTTAAGGTAAAGAGGAGTGATGCCTCCACGTCACCCCTAATGATTCAAGAAAATTATATTATGTATATTCTATAAAGCAAATCCATTGACAGCCATAGAGGGTATGCCAACTCATCGCAACCGTATAGGATAGAGTAGAATTGCCCCATTGGGTTTCCAAGGCAGCAAATATGTACAGAAGCTGACTGCTACACCCTTCTCCCACAGAGTGGCTGGTGGGTTTGAACTACTGAACTTTTGGCTAGCAGTAAGTATTTTAACTATTGCGCCACCACGGTTCCTATAGAAATATATGATAGAGAAAACAGATAACCAAAACCCACTGCCATCAAGTTAAACTGGACTCCTAACAACCTTAGAGGATAGCATAGATATGCCCCATAGGGCATCTAAAGCTGTGATCTTTACAGAAACAGACTGCCACATTTTTCTCCCAAGATGCACTGGTGAGTTCAGACTGATGACTTTGAGCTAGAAGACGAGAGCTAAGCCACTGCACCACCAGTTTTCCAGAGAGCCAACAGAAAGATAATTATAAAAGAGTGAAATGAAATATTTAATAATCAGTGAGTCTCATAAAAAGCATAGAGGGGTTCTCTGGATGAAATTGCATCAACATAAAACATTATTTAAAACTATCAAGGCCATTATAAAAGGAAAACAGTGAGACAGTGTCAAAGATTAGGGGAAAGGAGCTCTGGTAGCGTAGTGGTTACGAATCGGGCTGCGAACCTTAAGGTCAGCGGTTCGAAACTACCAACAGCTCTGCGGGAGAAAGATCAGGCTTTCTACTCCCGTAAAGATTTACACCCTCGGAAATCCTGTACAGGTTCGCTATGGGTCGGAACCGACTCGACGGCACTTAACAACAACAACAACAACATCCAACGTGGAGAGTGCTGGAGCTAATCTTAAAACAAAAAAGGACATTAAAAAAAAAAAAAAATGTGAAATCCAAATATCACTTGTAGTTTAGTTGAAAGTATTATGCCAAAGTTAATTTTTTTCATTTTAACATTTTATGATATGGCTATATGAAGATATTGTTGTTTTTGTGCCATCGAGTAGGTTCTGACTCAGAGAGGCTGTCTAGGGTTTGAACCATTGACTGTGTGGTTCACAGTCCACATTAAGATATTAGCAATAGCGACAATTAGATGAAATGTATACAGGAACTCTGTACACTCTTTTCCATCTTCCTGTAAATCTAAAATTATTTCAAAATAAAACAGGTTATTTAAGAAAGTACATATGAAAACATACACACATGCAGGCTGTCCCCAACGACTGAGACCAGAGCATACCAGACTGATTCCCCAAACACCTGGAAGTCAATACCACCATCAACCTGTAATATTTAATAAAAAAACGTTCACCAAACCACCGAACCAGAATCTCTGGAGATGGCGCTGCTGAGAACACGTATTTAAACAAAAGCCAAGGTGATTGTGTTAGCGCCCATACTCAGGAAAGCGCTATCCACCTCAATACTTCTCAGGCCTAGCTATGCATAGCGGTGAGTCACATACGGTCTCAGTGAAAGGCAGGCTTGGATTTAGCTCCAAGATGATGTTCAGGAAGTCCTCAGCCCCACGTATGAGTATGGAAAAGCAACAAGTATCCACGGCACTATGGAGCATCACGCCAGTGCAGGCCCACAACATACATATGTGGATAAACTTCTTCCCTGTTGGTATCATCATTCTCTTGAGTTGTAGTCAAATCTTGTTGTTGTTGTTATGTGCCGTCGAGTCGGTTCCGACCCATAGCGACCCTGTATAGGGTTTCCGAGGGTGTAAATCTTTACGGGAGTAGAAAGCCTCATTTTTCTCCCGCGGAGCGGCTGGTAGTTTCGAACCGCTGACCTTAAGGTTCGCAGCCCGATTCGTAACCACTACGCTACCAGAGCTCCTTACTGAACCAAAGCCCTAATTACATTTAGTCTGGGCCAACTATTCCTAGACTTTTTTTTTTTTTTTAATGGTAGGTAGATTACCATCCTCTCTCAAACTACATATGAGAATTGATAAGCATTTGCTTCCTGCCACAAAAGGGCATCTCAACTTACATGAGTTTCTTCTAAATTCATACAAATCTATCTCAGACAGCCGGATACAAATGCCATTGCTATGCTGACACCTTTTGTCATATCCAGACCCACTGTCATTGTGTTAATTCTGACTCATGAATTGGACAGAGCAGAGTGCTCCTTAGGGTTTCCAAGACTGTAAATCTTTGTGGGAGCAGACACTCTCATCTTTCTCCCATGGAGTAACTGAAGGGTTTAAACTGCTGACTTTGGGGCTAGCAGCCCAAGACTTAACCCATGACACCACTGTTGTTGTTGTTAAATGCCGTCTAGTCGGTTCCGACCCATAGCGACCCTGTACAGGGTTTCCGAGGGTGTAAATCTTTACGGGAGTAGAAAGCCTCATCTTTTTCCCGCGGAGTGTCTGGTAATTTCGAACCGCTAACCTTAAGGTTCGCAGCCCGATTCGTAACCACTACGCTACCAGAGCACCACTAGGATTCCTAAAATTTTACCATTTCTTACATTCAAACTCAAGCTCAACTGATTTGATCTTTAGAGTTTATTTTAATGATTCCTTTGGATTCATACAATGCCATGTAACATTTGCAACCGTCTTCAACTAAATAATAAAATCCTCGCCAGGGTCGGGGGTAAAAAAATAAATATATATAAATCATGATCACAAAAATAATATATCAAGAACCGAAATGAAAAATAAGTTACTATGGTACACTCTACTTGAAAAGGTTGTAAGTCATGCAAACTCCTATACTATAAGCTTTATGAAACCCCTAAGTGCATATTAGGTTTCAACCCTTTTTCTCCTTAAATCATTGGCTCTAGAATGACTATCATCATCAAAGAAGGACAAAAATAACTGCCTTGCAATAATCTTTTATAAATATAAATGAGACTCATACAACGAGACTCTCAGGATTCACACTAAAGAACAGCCAGAAAGAAAGGGGAGTCTATGAAAATTCCAGTAGAGAAAGGAACTAAAAATTTATGTAAAACTATTTTTGATAATTTTTTTTCATTCTGTAAATATTTATACCAGTTGCCATTTGAGCTGATTCCAGTACTGTCTGAGCTGAACAATACTCCTTAGGCTTTTGGATGGTTGGTTTTTCAGAAGTAGGGTTACAAAGACTTTCTTACAAGGAGCTTCTGTTGACCATCCAACCTCTTGGTTGGAGACCAAGCATATTAATCTTTTGCACCACTCAAGGCAAAAGAAATTAATTCATTGCTTGTTTGATTATTTATAAAGTAAACAAATATTTACTGGGTATTTATCACCTGCCAGACAATAAGATTTACACACAATGGGATTTACACTAGCAAAAGTATAACCAGCTGTGATCCAAGATTGAGCGCTTCCATGTTAATCTGTGTTTAATAGGTGTGAATATTGTAACAAGGTAACAAAGTCCTTGTTACATCTCTTTGCAAAATTAGTCGAGAAAATGATTCAGAAAATAAGTTTTTTGGCTGTCAATGTTAAGACAATTGGCACATAATCATGGGCACCCTCCTCTCTTCCACGGGCCTAGAGCCCGCTCCAAATACCCTTCCTGCCTCCGTCACAGCTTTGGGCACAAGTCCTGCAATGACACAGTACACGTAGATGCTAGGTGAGCATAGAAACACCATCCATCCCCACTATATGTGGTACAGAAATTAAAAACAAACACTGCAGCTACTATTTCACAGATTTTTCAACAGCCAGAAAGAGAGGGGAGTCTATGAAAAATCCAGTAGGGAAAGGAACTAAAAATACCGAACACTTGCTCTCATTACTACTAACCTGATCGATTTCCATCAGTTTTGGGTAGGCTCCTGGCCATTCTATGGCCACCTTGACGATGTCCACGGGGGGTGGCATTGTAACCCCCAAATGTGTCCAAAGCCAGTGGAACTGGGTATCCTAGGGCGTAGACAACAGCACGTGTTTACACCTAATGAGGAATGACAAAAAGAGAAAGAAAAGTCACTCAATGCAGATGCAGGACAAATTTTGCTTCATCACTTCCTGTTTTCACTAGTGGTTTAAGCATGAGAAACGGTTCCCAGTCCTCGCATTGGTGCTGAAGGCACCAGGGCGCCAACTGAACATCCAGCAAGTGAGCCCCCAGGTGGAAAGAAGAAAGATTGGGTAAAAGGAGCCCCGCCCTTGATTTAAAGTCAGGAAGGGACCTGGTCCTGGGTAAGCCAACGGTTGTGAGAGTCTTCTAGTGGGGAGAAAGCAGTCCCTTACCACTAGTTCTGCTCCGAATGGTTCCCAGAGGCTGAAAGAACTGTGCTCACTCTCCATACAAGAAAGCTTGTAAAGTCCTCATGCTCAACAGTCTCCGGAAGTACAGACTGCCCAGGAAGTCATGATCAGGAAGCATAGTTTCTTTAAAGTATGTTCTGTGTCACAAATAGATCTCTGCACTATAGCAACCAAAATATCACCAGGAAGGAGCAATGCCCCAAAGAGTTTTCACTCATGCATACACACACCCTCCTCAAGGCCAGTTCACACAATGCACCTTCCAAAGGGGGGAACCTACAGATGCAGCAACAGCATTCAGAACAGACCTTGAATTCTCCTTTGCCTTAACAATGTTGCTCACACAAAGGAAGTAAGATTAACCTCTTTCTCTCATTCCCTGCCTAGCTTAACTTCTTTTAGGATGGAATTTTTTTAACTTAGTCTTTTTGATTAAATAAAACATTTGTGTGATTCGAAACTTAAGTGTATATTATGTACCAGGGGGCTTCAAAACGTTCATGGAAAAAAGTTTATATATATTAAGATATAAACTGTAACGTCTCTTTCCCCCTAAATTCACAAACACTGACCCCCATATGTCTCCAGGTATCCACTGTTATTAGCTCTTTATATATTCTTCCAGAAGTTCTTCACAAAGATAAGGCAGATATATATTATTATATGTTTTCCTTTCTTTATATAAATGGTAGCATGCAATACATTCTTTTATTGTTCAGTTTATCTTCTAGATATGTTGGCACAAATAGATCTTTCTTATTCTTTTTTCAGCTACATAGTATTTCTTTAAGGTGTTCTGGTGGCATAGTGGGTTACCTGTTTGTGAACTGCAAGATCAGCAGTTCGAATCCACCAGCTGCTTCATGGGAGAACGAGAAGGCTTTCTACTCCCATAAAGACCTACAGCCTCAGAAACCCTAGCTTCCAGGTGTAGGTCTGTAGGACAAGTGCTGGACTACTAATCACAAGGTCAGGAGTTCAAATCCACCAGCTGCTCCTTGGGGACCAACTCCATGGCACTTAACAGCAACAACAACATGAGTCGTACCCAACTCAATGGCACGTAACTACAATGGTATTTCTTTATACAAATTCGTTCTGTTTAATGAGCCAATTCTCTGCCACTGGACATTTGTGTTATTTCTTCTTTTGGGCTATTATAAACAAAGTTATAGGGAATAACCTCATGCTTACATAATTTTGCACATGTTTAAGTACATCTTTATGAGCAAGTAATAAAGTGAAATGACCTGGTTGAAGATTATAGGCATTTAAAAATTTTGACAGATATTTCCAAATATCCCTTCATAGATTGTACTGAAGTAGTCTCCCCCAGCAGTCCTGAAGTGACACTGTAGGCAAAGCACTGGACTGCGAACCACAAGGTGGTTGGTTCAAACCCACCAGCCACTCCTCAGAAATTCTATACAGGGCTGCTTTGGGTCGAAACTGACTCAAGAGCACTGAAAAACAACAGCAACATTATATGCGTTTGCCTATTTACACACACAACCTCACCAACAAATTAGACTTTGCCAATGTGATGGGTTGAAAATATATATCTGATTGTATTTACAACTTGTGTTTCTCTTATACTGAGTGAGATTGAACTTAAAGAGGTAAAGCCTTAGGCCATCCACATCATCTGTCCCTTTTCAATTGGGTTCCTCAACGTTCTTCTCCTATTTCTTTTTCCCCTTTGCATTTTTTAGCAGATCACTGGAGGAAGATTTGAATCAAACATATGGTCTGGTCTTTATCAGACCAATGTTGTTGTTGTTCAGTGCTGTCAAGTTAATTCCGACCCATAGAGACCCTGTAGAGGGGTTTCCAAAAAGCAGCTGGTGAGCTTGAACCACCGACCTTGCAGTTCAAATGGCTTTGCAATCTGACGCATTAGCCCACAGCGCCACACCAGGACTCCAGACCAATATGTTGTTGTTGTTAAGTGCCGTCAAGTTAATTCCGACCCATAGCAACTCTGTATAGGGTTTCCAAGGAGCAGCTGGTGAGCTTGAACCACTGACCTTGCAGTTCAAATGGCTTTGCAGTCTGACGCATTAGCCCACAGCGCCACACCAGGACTCTGTAGACCTTGTCAATTGCTATCCCAGGTCTATGGCACTCAGATGTTCCTAACACGGTAGATGTTATTGCTGTTAAGTGCTGTAGAGTCAGTTCCAACTCATAGTGACCTTGTATCCGGTTTCCAAGGCTTTTTAAATCTGTGGGAGCAGAAAGCCTCATCTTTCTCCTAGGGAGTGGCTGCCAGGCTCGAACCACAGACCTTGTTCTTTGTAGTCCAGTGCTTATCGTATAGAGATACCAGAGTTAGTAATGAAAGAAGCTTCAACAACACTAGCAGCAGAAATATACATATATATATGTAATTATAGATATAAAACTTTATTTCCTGAGAAATAAAGGAAATGAAGGCAAACGGCTGCTTCTTTGGCCAAGGATGATTAGAGAAGCCTGCTGTGAAGCTAATCAGTGCTAACCACCCAGAGCAAATCTATATAGCAGTAGTTTAGTCACTCACTCAACTAATAATTAGGGAGTCCCTACTCTGTGCCAGACCCTGTTTTGCTGTTGGGGCTACAGCAGCAAATTTAGAAGTTAGATGGAGACAAGAGTCATGGAAAACAACAAAGCAAGGAAGGAAAGCCTGAAGTGTGTGAGTCTGTGTGTGGAGCAGGACAGGAGCAGGGCCAATTAAAAAAACAAAGGCTGAATCCACAGATATTGATGCCAGGAATGATAGACAGATCATAAAGGAATGTTAGCTAGACAAGTAGTGATGTGCCATGGAGTCGGTTTCAACTCACAGAGAACCTGAGTAGGGTTTCCAACTGTAGTTTCCAACTGCTGACCTTAAGGTTAGCCCTACTCGTAAGCACTATGGTACCTGGGCTCCTAGGTAGCTAGGCAGGTAGGTAGGTAAGAAGATGGATGGATGCATGGATGGATGGATGCATGGATACATAGATGGATGGATGGATGGATGGATGGATGGATGGATGGATGGATGGATGGATAGATAGATAGATAGATAGATAGATAGATAGATAGATAGATAGATAGATAGATGGATGGATAGATAGATGGTAGTGGCGGTTGTGTGCCGTGAAGTCGGTATAGTTAAAATGAGAGATCAGGAAGAAATGCACTTAAAAGATGGCATTTGCGTAGGGTTTTCGAGATTGTAAATCTTCACTGGAGCAGAAAGCCTCATCTTTCTCCTGAGGAGTGGCTGGTAGATTCGAACTGCTGACCTTGAGGTTCACAACCCAACTCATAAGCCACTATGCTACCACAGCTCGGTTATCACTTTGAGCATTCAAACTCTCTAGAATAATTTACCCTCCTTCAAAGTGTGTGCAAACTAGATCGATGAATTTTAGGAGGCTGGAGTTGGAACCATTGTAAAATCAACTCTACAAACAAGCAGATACGTGACTCCAGGAGCAGAAATCCTAGTACAGCAAACTCATCCGTTCCCTTGGTTGTTGTTAATATTTGCCTTTGAGTTTATTCTGATTCACAGAGAACCCTTTGTATGCAGCCTTGATCTGCTCCAAAAGGTTCTCACAGCCGTGACCTTACAGAAACAGTTCCTAGGCCTGTTCTCCACAGCGTCTCTGGTTGGGTTCAAAAGCAGAATGCGTACCTGCTGGCCTCATCCAGATACCTTCCAAAAACCCGGTGGGGAAACCACAACTATATTATAATCCATTAGCATATATGTAACAAACATCTTCTACAGTGTGTGGCAATTCTATCTAGTGATACAAGCAAACACAAGCCCAGTAAAGCCCCGCTGCCCTCACGTGGATTCCAACTCATGGTATCCTCATTTGGGTGAGAACTGTGATTCCTGGAATTTTTGCTGACTGATTTATCAGAAACAAGGTTTTCTGCCGAGGTGCCTCTGAGTGAACTCTAAACTCCAAACTGCTGATTAGCAACTGAGCACATTAACCATTTGCATGATTCACAGACTGCACAAGACCCCAAAAAACCACCCTCAAAATTAAAATGCAGTTGGGGGTGGATGGAGGCAAATGATATGTATAGCATTAAAAAGAACTTTAACATGACCAAAATAAAAAGAATATTAATCTATAATTACACATAAAGTGATTGAAGAATTCAAAAGTATTCTGAGATTTTTCCATTGGAGTAGTCAAGACAGGCTTCAAAGAGAAGGTGAGATCTTAAGAGACATTTCAAGGAATCATTTCATTTCTCATAGGGGCTTTTTTTTTCTTCATTTCTGAAGCACCTAACAGAACACATAATATATACGATGCCCCGATTCTCACACTCCATAAAGGAGAAAGCAAAGAAAACAACAAGGGGCTAAAAGTTATAAAGACAAGTGAATAACACCAACCCTGTTGTTGCAGGGTTAATTTCAATTCATAGCGAATCTGTGTTGCTGTTGTTTTCAGTGCTGTTGAGTCAGTTCGGACTCAGAGTGACCCTGTATGGGGTTTCAGAGAGCAGCTGACGGGTTTGAACTGCTGACCCTGCAGTTACCAGTCCAATCAGGTCTCCTTACAAATTACAGTGAGCTGGTGTCATATCACAGTGAAAAGCCCTAAATTCAGACTCTAAAATACTCACAAAGTAGAAAAGCAGGCACCTTTGGATTCTTGTCAGGCAAACACTTTAACTGAGCCAGATT